AATGCATCGGCAGTGTCTTGTTTACATCGTGAGTGTATTTGCTGCTGTTTGTTGATTGTGTGTGTGTGTGTGCGCGCGCACTTGTAGCCATGCTGTATCAATCAGAGATGACCGCTTGTATTGATCAGTGTTTGCAATACTTCTCCCAAACACACACACACACAAACTCACTTCTCTCTCTCTCTCTCTCATTTCAGCCACCCTGCGCGCGCTCTATCTCAGTGACAACGATTTTGAGATTTTGCCCCCAGACATCGGCAAGCTGGCCAAGCTACAGATAGTGAGTAATTTATCTAAATTCCCTCTGAAATCAATTGCTTTTGTGGCGGTGCTCTGTGCCGTGTGTGTTGGATTTATTCTCCGCAGCGTGTGTTCTTTATCAGACGTGGTGAGAGGTGATTTAGAGACTGATCTTCACCCCTGTGCTTGCTCACAACAGATTCAGTGCAGGGTCACAGTCCCATAAAACAGCTGATCAGTACAACTATTTTGGATTGGTGTGGCGTTAAAATATGGGTGTAATTACACCTGTGATTTTATGATGCAAGTGTTATGAGATGCTGTCTGGTACCACTAGAAATAAATTTGTTCCCACAAAACAAGCCATTTTCACTTGTTCAGGAATGCATTTGCAGTGTAAGTTTGTGGGACAGCGTTAAACACTGCTTCCATTAATTGACATTTCTGACTAAAACTAAAAATAATTTTTGATTTGATTTTATTATTAATTGCAATACAATTCACATTGGCTATTTTATTTTATTTTATATTTTTATTAATTGCAACAATTCACATTGGCTATTTTATTTCATTTAATTTTATATTTTCATTAATTGCAATTCACATTGGCTATTTTATTTATTTTTTTATTTTATATTTTCATTAATTGCAATTCACATTGGCTATTTTATTTCATTTTATATTTTTATTAATTTCAATACAATTCACATTGGTTGTTTTATTTTTATTTTTTTATTTATATTTTTTATTGCAATACCATTCACATTGGCTATTTTATTTTATTTATTTTATTTAATACTTTTTTATTGCAATACCATTTACATTGGCTATTTTATTTTATTTCATTTTATATTTTTATTAATTGCAATACAATTCACATTGGCTATTTTATATAATTTTTTTTATTTAATACTTTTTTATTGCAATACCATTCACATTGGCTATTTTATTTTATTTCATTTTATATTTTTATTAATTGCAACACAATTTACACTGGCTATTTTATTTCATTTTATATTTTTATTAATTGCAATACATGTCATATTGACTTATTTTCATTTACATTCCAGATTTGTATTAATTGCAATACAATTCACATTGGCTATTTTAATTTATTTTATATTTTTATTAATTGCAACAATTCACATTGGCTATTTTATTTTATTTTATTTTATATTTTTATTAATTGCAACACAATTCACATTGGCTATTTAATTTTATTTAATTTTATATTTTTTATTAATTGCAATTCACATTGGCTATTTTATTTCATTTTATATTTTTATAAATTTCAATACAATTCACATTGGCTATTTTATTTTATTTATTTTATTTAATACTTTTTTATTGCAATACCTTTAAAATTGGCTATTTTATTTTTATTTTTTATTTAATACTATTTTACTGCAAAACCATTCACATTGGCTATTTTATTTTATTTCATTTTATATTTTTATTAATTGCAACACAATTCACATTGGCTATTTTATTTCATTTTATATTTTTATTAATTGCAATACAATTCACATTGGCTATTTTATATCATTTTTTTATTTAATACTTTTTTATTGCAATACCATTCACATTGGCTATTTTATTTTATTTCATTTTATATTTTTATTAATTGCAACACAATTCACATTGGCTATTTTATTTCATTTTATATTTTTATCAATTGCAATACATTTCATTTTGACTTATTTTCATTTACATTCCAGATTTGTATTAATTGCAATACAATTCACATTAGCTATTTTATTTTATTTATTAATTTTTTATTATTAATTTCAATCAGGGACGGACTGGGACAAAGATTCAGCACTGGCACTATAGCCACACCAGCCCACATCACCATACCGACACACCCCCAATCACGGACACGCACAGTCATTACTTACATTGGTGTACAGATGGTGAAATAATATAAGCAGTAATAGATATTTAAACATTTAATTTATGTGTCTGGAACAAAAACAACCTGTTTATAACAAATTTATGCACACAGTAAAAGATAAATAAAAAATAGTCTGTGAATTGTCTAGATTCCGTTTGTTGTCTGTTTATGCCTGTTTATGCCTGTCTGTTTATGTTTTTCTGCTATTACTTATGATAGGAGTAACCTGTGAATGTGTATTACAAACACACACCTTTACACACAAATGGACATGCAACACTTTAGCATACTTTTATTAACAAATAACTATATATGTCATTCTCTGCGGTGTTGTCATTCTCCCCACCCCTCCCTAAGAATTAATTACATACTGTAACCTGTGCATGCATTTAATGTTTTACTTTAGAGACTAGCTATCTATTCATAGTTTACTACAAATGCCTACAGTATTATGGCTATAGCTATGTTTTGTTTTTTGTTTTTTTGCATGTTAGACTATATTGCTAGTACAGTAGCATACAGCAGTTTGTATACCCTAAATCTTACATTATAATGACTTTTTAAAACGTGCGGGAGTTCTACGCTAAGCTTACTGTTAAGCACAGTGTGGGTACCTGCAAAAGGTACCTGTCAGAAGTAGTGTGAATGGCATCAAAATGACTTGGTATATGTTAGTGTAATGACTTAGAAGTATATTTTCTGTTTACTTCTTACCTGCTCTACGGCGCTACTGTCCTCTAATGCATGTACTCCAATGCAGCAGCTGAATTTAAACTTTTCGATAATATTTCAGTTAACTTTATGCATTTGGCAGCGTCTGATTTTAGAGACATTTTTTTGCTTTCTTTGAGCTTTTCAGCACCGCCTTTCTCTTTTTCACGGTAGATCTCTGACAATTAGCTTGTGTTGTACGTACTGTTTGTTTGACCTTCTTGCTAGATTTTGATTATGTCCACGTTACTTTTGATTGGGTAGGCCCCTCTTGAAATCAGCCGGCCATCGGGCCAATTGGGCCAAATTTTTAACATTTACTATTATTATCATTATTACTATTATTACTATCATCATCATCATCATCATGATATTCACAATTTGCACGAGATAAAAGCTGCCTGCATGTAAAAACAATACATATAAAAAATAATAATAAAATAAAAAATAAAAATAAAAAACTGACCAGCCCACATTTAAAAAAAATGGTCTGGCCCTTCAAGCATTTGCCAGAATTGCAAGATGGCCAGTCTGCCCCTGAATGCAATACAATCCACATTGTCTTTTTTATTATTAATTGCATTACATTTCACGATGGTTATTTTATTTATTACATTTTTTATTGATTGCTGTTTAATTCACATTGTTTATTATTTTATTTATTTTATTTTTGATAATTGCAATACAATTCACATTGGCTGTTTTATTTGTTTTATTTTTTACTTTATTTTATTGCTTTATTAATTGCAATACAATTCAGATTGGCTATTTTATTTTTTATTTTATTATTAATCATTTTCTTAATTGCAGAACAATTCACAATCACATTGGCTGCTTATTTATTTATTGACTTTATTTTATTTTTTATTAGTTAATACAATTCACATTTGCCATTTTATTTATTTATTTATTTTATTAATTGCAATACAATTCACATTGGCTTTTTTATTAATAATTCACTTTGGCTATTATATTTTATTTATTGTATTCTATTTTACTTTTTATCAATTGCAATACAATTCACATTGGCTATTTTATTTTATTTTATTTAATTACTTTTTATTAATTGCGTTACAATTGACTGTTTATTTTATTTGTACTTGCTTATTTTTTGTTAATTGCAATTCAATTTAAATTAGCTTGTTTATTTTATTTTATGTTTTTAATTGCAATACAATTTACATTGGTTATTTTATTTTATTTATTTTATTATTTGTTTTGTTAATTGCACAAATTGTAAAATTTGTAAAATTCACATTGGCTATTCATTTATTTATTTATTTTTATTTAATTTAATTTTTTTATTAATTGAAATACAATTCACGTTGTCTATTTTCTTTTATTAATAATTGCAATACAGTTCCCATTTGCTATTCTATTTTATTTTAGGCTCACTTTCACCGCGCTGTCAGGAGAATTGTTTTTTAATACAAAAAATGTATGAAAATACTTTTTAGTGATTTTTAAAAAAATAAAAAAACATATATTTTGTGCATTCATCATATCAGATGAGTGGGATGAGTGACATTAAGAAAACAAATAAAGATGATTATTTAGATTTCATGTTGTAATGAATTAGTTCTCTTCTATTTTTCTCTATTCATTTTGTTAATTCTTGTCCTTCTCTTTTCAGTTGAGTTTGAGGGACAATGACCTCATCTCTCTACCCAGAGAGATTGGAGATCTGACTCAGCTGAAGGAACTTCATATTCAAGGGAACAGACTCACTGTACTTCCTCCTGAACTTGGTAAGACCTAATTAACCTGTATCAACATCCTTAATGTCTTCCTAATGACCAAACAAGTCTACAAAGTCTGGAATGATTGGAATGATTGGTCGAGAGAAATGCCAAGTTATACAAACCCTGCTCGACCAATCAACTTCCACACCGGACACAGTCAAGCACTCTGATTGGCTACAAATTTGTCATCTCTTATGTGATTGGTTGCACCGTGGAGTGATGCTGTTGGGTTCAACTCGGGTCAATCATCTCACTACCTGAATGCCTTCACTTTGGGAACACCTACACACACACACACACACACACACACACACAAACACACACACACACACACCAAATGCCCTTCTGACAGTAGTTCTTCCTCCTGTCCTGTTCCATCCCAACAATTTAATCTATGATTCTAGTGTACCAGTATTCCAGCATTATGTCAAGACTCACCTTGAGTGTCATATAAATGTCCTCCATACAAAGTAAGTGGCCGTCTGCAGGGGGTCAGCGCATATACTACACAGTTTAAACTGTTGCTGCATAGAAATCGTTTATGTTTGTTTGCATCATGTGAGAGATCTCTGGAGTACATTTAAAGCTGCAGTATGTATGTTTAACACCCAGTGGTTGAACTAGGTATTGCATTCCTGGTTCAAAACACATGCAAGCACAGGTTGCCAGATTGAGGACACCAACAGAATTGTGCCTGACTATTGAGCCTAAAGGCTGATTTAGGGCTCACCTCTATCACGTACGCAACGACACACAATAGAATGAATACTTTCATGTTAAAAGTAGTTTTTGTTCTAAGCAACACTTGAAATTTTTAAATTTTAGAAACCTTTTTTAATTCTTGTAGCTGAATAAAAGGATAAACTGACAATGATCACCGCAGGTACACCTCATGTGCTTTATTCAGTGTTAAATGATAATAATAATGAGTTTGAATGCCATTTAACGTGACATTTCTGCCATTTACTGAAAACAGCAGCAGATAGTTCACCGCAGATCTTGAAAATAAAATAAACAGTTTGAAACTGAACTTTAGAACTGTGACTCAGTGGAAGCCAACCAATATCATGTGTATTAATTAGGTTATAAACCTTACCATTTCGTCGGTGTGCAGTAAGTGCACTACTCTGTGCTTTTGAACATAAACACTAAAAGCTGAACTACCATGATCCAGTTACTATGACCATTTATGTAAAGCTGCTTTGACACAATCTACATTGTAAAAACACTATACAAATAAAGCTGAATTGAATTGAATTTTGAATGACTATATTTAATAGTGGTGTAACGGTGGGTTTGCATTGAGATCACGATATTTTAATGTTTAATTGTGCCACTTTACACTTAATACAATAATGCAGGCTAAACAAACAGTGACAGAAAACACCTTTAATTAATAACCTAAGAAAGCATTTATTCTGATCAGGCCTGTCATCAATGGTTGCATATTAAATAATTGAGGAGTGAAATAAATGGATGCATAAAAACCCATATTTTTTTAAGGTTACAGGTCCAACACACAAAAACATCGCTAAAGAAAATGCAAAATTTAATCATTGATCTTTCAAGATTTTGTCTTTCTCACAATGCAGTTATACGTGTTTTTATCTGCATCCCTGTTATGGTGTTTAATATTGCACTCATGTAGTTAAATTAAAAGGTTTTGTCCTAAACTATTTTGTAACACCACTCAATAAACGACAGAGCATCATGTGAAGCAATAGACTCTTTATTTTGTCCGTCCATGCGATTTACACTACCTGACAAAAGTCTTCTTGTTGATCCCAGTTGTAAGAGCAACAAATAATAACTTGACTTCTAGTTGATCATTTGGAAAAGTGGCAGAAGGTAGATTTTTCTCTTGAATCATCTGTTGAACTGCATTCCAATCATCACAAATACTACAGAAGACCTATTGGAACCCGCATGGACCCAAGATTCTCAGAGAAATCAGTCAAGTTTGGTGGAGGAAAAGTCATGGTTTGGGATTACATTCAGTTGGGAGGCGTGTGAGAGATCTGCAGAGTAGATGACAACATCAACAGCCTAAGGTATCAAGACATTTGAGCTGCCCGTTACATTACAAACCACAGGAGAGGGCAAATTCTTCAGCAGGATAGCGCTCCTTCTCATACTTCAGCCTCCACATCAAAGCTCCTGAAAGCTAAGAAGGTCAAGGGGTTCCAGGACTGGCCAGCCCAGTCACCAAACATGAACATTATTGAGCATGTCTGGGGTAAGATAGAGGAAGCAAAATTGAATCATTGCAGAGATGTATGGATGCAGTCCTCCAAGCTCATGGGAGTCATACACTATATTAATTCTTTCTCCACTGCAGCATGACTTTATATTCTATACTGTACATTATTTCTGTAAAGTGACAAGATTTTTGTCCGAGCAAAGACAGAGCTTACTGTCCTAATTAAATAATTAAAATCAAGGCAAGATCATATTTTATTTTGGTAAAATAAGTGTAATCCAGAGGCCTTTGCCTTTCATATAAACCCCTTCTGAAACAAAATGATCAACCAGAAGTCATCAAGTTGTTGTTCCTAAAACTTTGGTTGGCGACAAGACTTTTGTCAGGTAGTGTATAAATTGTCGTTATTGCACAGCTCTTATTGTAATTTGATTAGCTTTACAGCGCAGTTTGAACATGTTCATCCAAAAGTCTGCAACATTCCACAATATTCAGCTAAATCCTGTTTTTACCACTAGATTTCAGGTTTTCAATATCAGCGCCCTCAAAACCACCATGACTGAAAGAAAGTAAAGCAAACAGCCCTCACATTGTCTGGATTGTTCTGTATTGACTTGCATTGTGCTTTAGCAATTGTCAGTTGTTTATCAGCCCTCTAGGTGCATGTGAACGCTCTGGTCAGCAGGTCTTTGTCCTGTGCTCTCAGTAGGGGAGACTCTTCCTGTGTGTAGCTTATTAGGACCCCTCTGTCATGTCCCTGTAATCCCACTCCACAGACCAGCCTCGTTAAACTACCACCGCCGCCACAATGTATGTGTGTGTGTGTTTGAGAAGAGAGCCCAGCTAACAAGGAGCAACCAAGCGCACATGCCAAGAGCAGCAAAGGAAAAGGAGGGATGTGAATAAGAGTGTGCAAAGAGGACAGATAGACAGTCTTTACCATTCAGAACATCTCATGTGTAAAGCTGATGCTTTAAACTGTTTTATGAAAAAGAGGAAGGAAATTGAACCTTGAGATCTGAAATAGTTGTTCATTCTTTTAGGTCTTTCGTCTGGGTCTTTTGGGTTCAGGGCTGATTTACAGTAATGGTCATGTCTGGCTGCGTTTTTGAGGTGTGTGTCATCGCGTGCTGGGGTCCAGGTTTAATTTCACCCCCTCTTTTGACAAGGCCGCTCTACACTTGCTAATCAGAAACTATTTAATTAGCCCCCCTGTGAGCTGAGATGAGCCACATTAGCGCTTTGACCCAGACTGTTTCGTCTGTACAGTGTGAACCGGTTTCTTTTCCTGGTCTGGTGTCGTCATCTTTTCTTGTCTCCTTATTTCTCCATTTGTCTCGTGTTTAGTGATCCTCTTTTGTTTTTTTTCTTCGTCTTATCTCATTTGGGCTCTTCTATTTTGTCTGTTCTTTTTTGTTACTTTTTTTTCCCCCAATCCATGGCTGTTTCTCAATATGCGTTCTTCAGCGGTCTTACGTCCTCGTGTTCTTGTGCAACGTCATCATCAGCTGCCTAAGTTCAGTTCCAATACTCAAGACCGCAAGTAAGGAGGACGCGTGAAACATCCCGGATGTGATCTTGATATCGAGGATGCACCCATGCAGACTTAAGCCCCAAACTCGCTCTGGAAGTCTCCGAAGTCATTGCGACTGGAGGTGGGAAGCGCAGCATTTTATTTCGATTTATTATTAAAGTTCAGAGATATAATTTATTCACCACAGAAGTTTCCCTAAATGAAACGGTGAAAGTAAACAAAACCATGGACATCTTAATAAATGAATAAACACATTAAGGGTGTTTCAAAAGTTCCCACTTAGATATGCTTGGCACTTATAGCAGGTTTGGCATGCTGTCCCGGGAGAGAACCCTGAGCTCGGAGATATTTGAGCCCAGGGCTCCCGCCCGGTCTAGAAGCATATCTGGAGAACCGAGATCAGGTAGGTCTCGATCGCTCCCCCTTTAGAAGGGGAGAAAAAGGAGGAGATGGGGTGGAAGGGGGGATTCTTCCAAAACGAAGATAGTGCAATAAGGAGAAAGTGATCCATTTATATTAAGCTAGGATCATTCTGATTGGATTATTACTGATTACGGATGAGTGGCCAGTGGTGCACAAACATGTCACGTGCTCCTCTTGAAATTTTCGAAATTCACTTGTTTGCTGAAATTCGTATTAAAATCTTTTTTTAATTTATATTGTGCAATGTATATTCATAACGTTTTTATGCAAAGTATATATTTTAAAAAGGGGAAAAACAATAAATCGTTGTAAAAATGCTGTAATGTTTAAATAATTTACCATTTAAAATGTTTGAAGGTCATGTGACCATCAGGAAGATCGCAGTATCTCATTTTTCAAAGGAGAACTGTTCTCGTGGTCTCCTGAGTTTGTTTTTCCGAGGACACCTGGCAAGACCGCTCTCCACAAGAACACAGGTCTGTTCTTTGCGTTCTTAGAATTGAGAAACAGCCCATCTCATCCTGATACAAGGTGAGGGTTTTTGTCTTGCACTTTAGCCCCTTGACTGGTAACCATTGTTAATTTTGTTGACAAAACATTTCCGTCATAATTTTCATGATACCTACGAAAACTAGATGAAAACTAAATAATAAAGAAGTGATGATGACGGCAACTATAATTAAATATACTGATGTTTTCGTTGACTTAAAAACAAACAGGACGAGAATTTGTTTGGGGATGTTTTTTAGTAAATAACTAACGAGAATCAATCTTGGTGCATGACGCACACTCAGACACACACACTTGAAAAGTAACTGATCCATAGTAAACACACTGGATGTGATTACATCATCATCCATAAGGGCGTCTGTCTTTTTGATTAAACTCTGTATAATGAGATCACAACAGCTAAGAGAAAAAGAAGATTCACGCTTGATGTCAAGACAAAAAGTCTGTAAACTGTATGGGGAGGAAAAAGCTGATAAAACTACCAATCTAAAGCAACATCAGGACTGGGAATCATCCCGAACTTTACTGTAATCTCGATCTTTTTTATTTACCCGAGTGTGTGCTTGCTTAACTGAAATGGTGTAGCCTCTCGCTGACATTTAGATATGCCATTAGGTTGTACATTAAACATTATTAAATCGGTAACATGATCATGGCATTCATTTTCGTGAAGAGTTGTTTCATTTTAGCTGCGGCTGCAGTCTAGCTGGCCTGATCCAACTCCCGCTAGGATCATGTGCGCTGTCTGCGTCTGCCGCTTTTGCCATGACAACAGCCATTTACAGTGTACCTCAACCACGAAACAAAAACTGCTTCATTCAGGATGGGATTTTTTTCTTACTGTAATGATGTAATGATACTGTAGTGTTATAATCTCCGCTTAACAGGGAGTCGCATTCTAAAGAAAATGCCTTGAAATGAAGCACACTTTTAATTTTGACATACATTTTCGCTTTATAATTCCTAGCTTAACTTTATGTGAGTTAACAGAGCCATGGGATTAAATGTACATTTTTCAAAATTGCACATTATTATTTGCCAGTCATATGTCATTACTTATTTACTCAGTGCTATACATCTGAGCACCATGTACTGTAAAAACATACTACACCTGTAAAGCTTGCTATAGACTGACATTGCAAAGTGAACTTAAACTATTTTAAGCCCATTTAACGATTTAATTGCATGAAACTGTTCAGCAGACTAGGTAAAAAGCCGTGTAGTTTACCATGTTAAAATAAACGGTTTGCAAAACAATTGCAAAGTCTTACATTTTCAGTAGTCTACTGTTCTTGCCAACACATAATTCTACAAATTGCTTATGATACAAATAAACAATGCATATCTAATTTTTGGTCCTCAATGGAAAAGCTATATTCCATATTTTAATGAAACTGTTTTTTTATTTATTTTAAGTTTAAATATATTTTATATAAATAAATGTGTACAATATTTAATTCAAATACACTCACATTAAACCAAATATATTTTAGTCAACTAAATCTAGAGTAGATTTAGTCGACTAAAATCTTATGAAATTTAGTTGACTACAGCTAGACTAAAACTAAAATGAGTCGGAAGACTAAAATATGACTAAAACTAAAATGGAAATTTAGTCAAAAGACTACGACTAAAACTAAATCAAAATTTGCAGTCAAAATTTTATTTATTTATTTATTTTTTTGGCCTTTTTGCCTTTATTAGATAGGACAGTATTGAGACAGGAAGCGAAGTGGGAGAGAGAGGGGGGGTAGGGAAATGTCGTCAAGCCGGGATTCGAACTTGCGACGCCCTGACGTGCTATTGCACCATATGTCGGCACGCTAACCACTAGGCTATTGCACCGACTGCCACTGCCTGTAACGTCCTGACTTTTCCTATTTTCTCCATTCGTCTAGTCTCTTGTCTCATCTTGTCTCATTTGGGCTCTACCTGTCTTTATTCTTTTCTGTCTGTTCTTTTTTTTTTTGTCTCTTTTTTTGTGTCTTGTTTCTTTTCTTTCGTTCGTCTCTATACAAGGCGAGTGTTTTTATATTGTACTTCAGCACTTTGTATGGTAACGTCCTGACTTCCTTGTTTCGTCATCGTGCCTTTTCTCATTTTGACTCCTTGTCTTTTCTTGTTTCCTGTTATGTCACCATATTTTTGTTTTGTTCATTGTTTCATCTTGTGGGGTCTTGTTTTGGTTCATTGATTCTTATTTTGTCTACTTGTGGGTTGCTTTATTTTGTGTCTTTATTTCTCATTTTGTCTCCTTGTGACTCATCTCATTGTGGCAATGTTTCTCATTTTGTCTTCTTGTTTTTCCATCTATTTTTTTAATTTCTTGTTTTGTCTCTTTGTGTTTTATTTTATTTTGTCTATTCATTTCTCAACTATTCAATCGTCTTTGCTCCTAATTTCTCATTTTGTCTCCTTTTGACTCATCTGATTTTTTTCTTTATTTTTGTTTTGTTTCTTTGTCTCTCATCTCATCTTGTCTTCTCTTTTCTCAATTTGTGTCCTTGTTTTTCATCTCATCGTTTAATTACTTGTTTTGTCTCATGTTTTGTCATATTTTGATTTCATGTCTTTTTTGCGTTTTTCTCATCTCATCTTTTCTCATCTTGTCATCTCATTTTGTATACTTATGACTCTTCAATTTATTTATTTTTGGTTTTTTTTGTTTCTAGACTTCTTATTTCTTCTTGTTTTGTTAGGTTTTTTTCTCTTTTTTCATTACATCTCACCCTTTGTTCTCTCATCAATACTTTGGTTAATCTCGGATCTTTTTTTTCTTCCTTCCTTCCTTTTTTTTTTTTTTTTTTTTTTTTTGCAATTTCAGCTCATTTAATCTCTTCATGTCTCAGATTGCCATCTTGTTTTGTTTATCTCATCTTATTAACCCTTATCAGGTTGCTTCTCTATGGTTTCTTTTCTTTTTTCTTTTTCTGCTCTGTCTTTTCCAAATTTTCCCTCATGCCATCTTAATGCAACTTATATAAACTTAATTTTTTGAATCATCATATTGCTCATGTCTTCACCTTCTTGTCTGATCTGACCTCCCCTACCACTTACACTTTTTTAAATTAAAATGATTATTTAAATCTCTCTCTCTCACTCTGTGCCTGTAGGTAATTTGGACCTGACGGGACCCAAGCAAGTGTTTAAGGCTGAGAATAACTCCTGGGTGACTCCCATCGCAGACCAGTTCCAGCTGGGCATTTCTCATGTGTTTGAGTACATCCGCTCCGAGACCTACAAGTAGTAAGTGAATCTCTCCATTCCTCTTCGCTGAGTTTAAACGTCCAGGAGCATGTGCTGTGAATCGGAGTTACACAGACAATACAGTAGCTCAGTGTTTAGGGATTGTACTTATTTATATAAAGCTCGAAGGTTTAATCTCTAGTACTGGTGACCTAGACACTGTCAAGTTTTCCATTTGTCCGTGAAAAATTACTGACCGAAAAATGTTCGTCATTATCACACAAAATATCGATACTTTGCACCTTTTCACCAAACAAACCCAGAGCAGAACGTTTCTAAGGTTCTTATGTACAGTTTTGTTTTGTTGGTGAATGAATCTGCATTTTTGAATGAATCATTTAAAAAAGTGATTCAATGTCGCAGTTGTTTGGAATGCATATTTTAAAAGAATGACTCAAATGACTCACTCATTAAAGCTGCAATTTACTGGCACCTATTGTTGGATTTAGTTAAATATTATTTTTTAAATAGTCCTATAATTTCTTTCTCTCATCTCATGAATCTCATGAATGAATGTTTTTGAATGAGTCATTTAAACAAGTGATTCAATGTCCCAGATGTTTTTAGTTCATCTTTTGAAAGAATGAGTCAAATGACTCGCTCATTGAAACTGCTGTAGGTAGTGCTGTCTCCTCCCAGTAAGAAGGTTGCTGGTTCGAACCTCTTCTCAGTTGGCGTTTCTGTGTGGAGTTTGCATGTTCTCCCTGCATTCGCGTGGGTTTTGGGCAAGGCAGTGGTGCAGTAGGTTGTGCTGTCGCCTCACAGCAAGAAGGTCGCTGGTTCGAACCTCGGCTCAGTTGGTGTTTCTTTGTGGAGTTTGCATGTTCTCCCTGCCTTTGCGTGGGTTTCCTCCTGGTGCTCCGGTTTCCCCCACAGTCCAAAGACATGCGGTACAGGTGAAATGGGTAGGCTAAATTGTCCGTAGTGTGTGAATGCGTGTGTGGATGTTTCCCAAAGATGGGTTGCGGCAGGAGTGGCATCCGCTGCGTAAAAAACTTGCTGGATAAGTTGGCGGTTCATTCCGCTGTGGCGACCCCGGATTAATAAAGGGACTAAGCCGACAAGAAAATGAATGAATGAATGTCCTGGAAAAAAATATTTAAAAAAAGAGTGGGAACCTGCAGGTAAAAAAAACTCATGAATCATTCGGATATTTGCCTATATATTGGCATTTCTGTAAAGCACAATGTTAGTCATGAAACTCAGATCAGATCACAGGCACATAAAGAGCCATTCCCGCTAGGTATTTTACTAAGAGAAATGTCTTGCTGAATATGAGGTATAAATTTAGTCCATCTATACAGGCCAGTTTTATTGTGGCACATATTTTTCTGGAACAACCCTTAGGATGATGATGAAAGAGAGGAAAGGTGCGGTTCTCTTATTATTTCAGGATCTGATGATTTAATGCACAATCAAACTAATTAAAATCAGGGCTGGAGGCGTTACCCTAAAAGTCTCATCGCTCTCTGTCTTTCGTTATCACTCTCATTCCCCTTATATACTATTAGATGTTCAGTGGAAAGTCATTTGTTTGCACTTGTGTAAAATAAAGTGACTTTTTGCATTGGGTGTCAAAATCAGACCAAAGTGTGTGGCTTTTACTTATCATGACTTCAGAGGAACCTTAAAAAAAACACAAATTAAATAAAAGGACAATGAGTGTAAAGCATGCTAGTTGTGGCATTTTCAGATCTTTCCATTACTTTTTAAAATGTGTTTTCATATCATTGCTGCTATCTTGGTTCTCATTGCAACACAGAAATTATTCAACATACAGTAACACACACTATTTAAATAGTATTTATTGTAATTTTTAATCATGTTTATTATTTTATATACTATATAGAATAAACATATATGAATTAAATATACAGTTGAAGTCAGAATTATTTTCCCCACTTAGATTTTTTTTTCCTTTTTTAAATATTTCCCAAATGATGTTTAACAGAGCAAGAAAGTTTTTACAGTATGTCTGATAATATTTTTTCTTCTGGAGAAAGTCTAATTTGTTTTATTTTGGCTAGAATAAAAGCAGTTTTTAATTTTTTAAAAACCATTTAACGGTCAAAATTATTAGCCTCTTTATTATTAGCTATTTTTTCGATAGTCTACAGAACAAACCATCATTGTACAATAACTTGCCTAATTACCCTAACCTGACTAGTTAACCCGATTAACCTAGTTAAGCCTTTAAATTTCACTTTAAGCCAGGAGTGTCCAAACTTTTTGGGCCGAGGGCCAGATGCAAAAAAACAAACGTTGTCGCGGGCCAAATTTTACATACATCACACAGACACGCATATATATATATATATATATATATATATATATATATATATATATATATATATATATATATATATATACATACATACAGTTGAAGTCAGAATTATTAGCCCCCCTAAATTATTAGCCCCCGTTTATTTTTTCCCCTATTTCTGTTTAACAGAGAGAAGATTTTTTTCCACACATTTCTATACATATTAGTTTTAGTAACTTATTTCTAATAACTGATTTATTTTATCTTTGCCATGATGACAGTAAATAATATTTGACTAGATATTTTTAAGACACTTCTATACAGCTTAAAGTGACAGTTAAAGGCTTAACTAGGTTAATCAAGTTAACTAGTCAAGTTAAGGTAATTAGGCAAGTTATTTTATAATAATGGTTTGTTCTGAAGACTTAAGGGGTTAATAATTTTGACCTTAAAATGGTTCATAAAAAAATTTAAACCGCTTTTTATTCTAGCCGAAATAAAACAAAAGTCTTTCTCCAAAAGAAAAAATATTATCAGACATACTGTAAAAATGTCCTTGCTCTGTTAAACATCATTTGGGAAATATTTAAAAAAGAAGAAATAAATCAATGAGGGGCTAATAATTCTGACTTCAACTGTGTGTAGATAGATAGATAGATAGATAGATAGATAGATAGACAGACAGACAGACAGACAGACAGATAGATAGATAGATCATAACAAGAACTGCTGCTTAATTGAAGGCATGTAATAGCGACACCCGGTGGTTATTTATTGAATCACGTTCATTTTTGTATAGCGGGCCAGATTCTATTGATATTTATAAAAAGCCTCGCAGGCCGCCACAAAACAGATTGCGGGCCGCAGATGGCCCGCGGGCCGTAGTTTGGACACGCCTGCTTTAAGCTGTATAGAAGTGTCTTGAAATGTATCTAGTCAAAATTATTTTCTTCATGGCAAAGATTAAATAAATCAGTTATTAGAGATGAGTTATTAAAAGTATTATATTTAGAAATGTGTTGAAACAATCTTCCCCACGTTAAACAGAAATTGGGGAAAAAATAAACAGGGGGCTAATTTTTCTCACTTCAGCTGTACATTAAAATATTAAAAAGTACAAAATTAAGGATAAATATTATTATTCAAGCTATAATAAATAATAACTTTCTGGTCATCGGATATTTGGCATGTATATATATGTGTGTATACATACATGTATTTATATATATATATATATATATATATATATATATATATATATACATATACATATACATATACATATACATATATATATATATATATATATATATATATATATATATATATATATATATATAGCGAATGTGATTTTCGAAAGGATTACATTGCTTTCTAAATGTTTATTATTACCATTTGATGAGTCTCCACATACAGTTTAATATAGCACTTGGACCTGGAATTTGCTTCCCATGACATCACACTTACAAACAGATTGTCATAGAATTCTTTCTGTTCAAGTTCTTGATAAAAGTTGCTGGTCGAGTTAAAAGCAGCCGAAAGTTCTTTATGAACTGGACATTAACTGCATTTCACAGCAATATTTTTGTTTTTACGCTCATTTAAATCAAAGTAATGTCTGTATTTCCACTTGAAGAAGCAACCGTCAGCTGCTTTTTCAGCTTGCGTTCTCCAGCACTTCAAAAGCGCATGCTCATTAACTGACATTGCAGCTGAAAACTTGATTTTAAAGAAGCATTCTTTTCTTCTAAAATCTATTAGTAACGTAAGTAACGCAATTACACAGACTTTAGTAACTGTATTCAAATTACACAAATTTGAATTAATTACATTACTACTTTTCACAAAAATTCTATTAGAGTACAGTAACATGTTACTTTATACGCTACATACAATTGCTTAACATATACAATATATAAAAAATCAAATATATTCAAAACAAATCAGTTTGTTATTATGTTTGTTAATAACACAATGTAAATGTTGCTCTAATATACAATTAAATATTATAAAATGTTAAATGACATCTGACTAAACCAGTATGGCTCAAGCCTAACAAAACCCTGACGTAATCCTTTTGACCTGAGGAAGCATATTTCCAGTCTAATTGTAGTATATGTTTCATGGCCCTGTTCCACTTCCCAATCCCCCTGAACAGGAGAGGCAAATCCCCCTCTGTTTGATCATTTAGCTGCTCGCTGTGCTGCTGTCTGGAGAGGAGCATCGTAACCCACTTACCGGAACTGATCTTCCCCTACAGGCACAGTCAAAACCACCGCGCGTCTCAGTGTGTGCTGACACCGTGACCGAGTGTGTGTGTGTGTGTGTAATAATCAGATACTGCCGCTTGAAATGTTTTGAATAGTTTCGATACGTTGACTGCGTATCATCCGTTGTAATGCGCTTGTGTTTTGGCAAAACTCAATAGTTCACTTCCTGCACGCTGTTTTGTATTGAATTAAAAGTCTGCGAGGTTTGAAGGTTGAGAGCTGACATTGCAGATTTACGTTTGATAAATGGGAATTTTCTGAGGGAATCAATGGCGTTTGGAGCTGTCATCCATTTTGTGTCAAGCACTCATCAAAACTGCCGCGTACGTTTGATTTTTGAGTGCGATATCAGAGTCTAAGCAGTTCTGACCACCATTTATCTTTCTGTACTTGTCTTTTTGCGCTTGTTTGGATATTTAGTTGGAATTGGTCCTCAAGTTTTTGGATGGAGATCTCTATGAACACCT